TCTGGGTGCGCTTCAAGGTGCTGACTATCATCTTTAAGGCGCTCCATGGCAGCGGACCAGGATACCTTCGAGACCGCCTTCTGCCACAGATTACCTCCCATCGGCCAGTACGCTCCCACAGGGTGGGTCTCCTCAGGGTGCCGTCGGCCAGACAGTGCCGGCTGGCGACCCCAAGGGGGAGGGCCTTCTCTGTGGGAGCCCACCCTCTGGAATGAGCTTCCCCCAGAGATCAGGGTGATCCCTGATCTCCCTTCCTTCCGCCGCGCCCTCAAGACATGGCTATTCCAACAAGCGGGACTGGCCTAGGGTAATTTTTAAGAGGGGTTTTAGAGGGGTTTTTAAGCATATTTTAATCAGACAATTTAAATATTTCATTTTAATTAATTTTAATTTGTGATTGTTATCGGTGTTTTTAATTGATTGTCAGCCGCCCTGAGTCCGCAAGGAGAAGGGCGGGATATAAATTCGAATAATAATAATAATAATAAAAAAATAATAACTAGCACCTTTAATTGCAGCCAAAGTGAACTGAGAACTAAGGCAGCTCATACAAGTGGCGTAAAATATTGGCAAACCCAGAATTCCCAGCCCTCCCTACATATGCGGCTGCATTCTGAACCAGTTGTTGTTTCTGAGTGTTTTTCAGGGGCACTTTGAAATGGGGAGGGTGAGGGGGGTAAATGAACAGCAATCCCCACTGATACCTAAAGCTTAGCCTCACAAAAAAGGTCCCTTAACCAGTAATGCCCCACAGGCTAAACTTGCATATAATGATAGCCATACCACTATCCTTGCCCTGGAGTCATGGCTAATGCCACCCTCAAAACCTAGGACAACACATTTTAGAGGGGGGGACCTTCCCTTCACTGCCCAACCAGGTCTCAGTGATACATGTCAGGTCAGCCCTCATCGTCAAAACATGACTAGATGGGAACAAATCTGCATTTAAGATAATAATTAAATAATGTCAAATTCCAGCTGGAAAATAATGTATTCTTAGAAAGTCATACACCTTGCTACTATGTTTAGTTTTCACTTATTATGTTCCATGTATCTGATTATTGTTAGAAAATCACTCTTTCTAATTTAATATCTGCATAAATTGAGACAAGTATGGTTTATTAATAAAAACTGGTTACTTTTCCTTCCATGAATTACAGATAGAGATCTGGTCTGCTTGGCCAGTTCTTAAGATTTTCTTATCAGAAAAAAATCATCATCATAATAATCAAACAGTAAGATTAAATTAAAATAAAATAAAATAAAATAAATTTCAAACAGTGTTATACAAGTGATGAATACTTAGTTTTTAAATATGCTTATTTTAACATTTAAAATTGCATATTTCATATGAAAACCAGAGCAATACCCACGACTATGCTCCAGAATTTTTGTCAATAACTTATGGAACTATAATTGTATAAAAACTTCCTATATAAACAAGGAAAAAACACCATACTCACTAGCACTGATGATTTTACCTAATTTCGAATAATGAAAAGTCTGCAAGCAAACCACCAAGTTCAGAAAGTACCAAGCACTCCATTGCTTCATTAATTTTAATCAAAAATCAGAAGAGACTGAGAAGAGACTCAGTCACAAATGCCAAACAGATATGTCCAGGAAAGTAATACATAATCTGTGAAGGGATCTCTATTGCAGCATTTCTGAGTACCTCCTAGCCATCTGATGAATGTCACAATATACAGTATATGCATTCCCTCAAAATCACAAATAATTTCAAAAATTGCATATACTGAACATGTCTGAACTCCAATTCTGGAGTCATATAGACTCCATATATGACTGGCCAAAATATTTTGAATTCGTAGTATAGATTATTATGTGACCTGCATAAGAATAAAGCTGTCTATAGTATCATGCTTTATACTGAGAAATAAATATCATGTTTTCCTTTGAAATTTTGATAAACTCAACATTTCCTGTTTTTTACTACAAAGATAGCACGTTAATGCAGACAAAAAGATCATGCATTTTAATTACATCAATTCTGCTATCCTTTAAGCAGGTAGAAAATATTCATTTGATATTCTTAATATATTTATTAAGAAGCTATTGAATGTCACTACTTCCAGAAATGGAACTCTTACACAGAATTAATGCTACTACTCTAGTTAATTATCTTCAAAAAAAAAACCCCTTCAGCTTAAGATATATCAGTTGTCACCTGATTATTACTTACTCCAGATTATTCTGAAGGTAGTAGAGAACTCCAAGCTCATTAAGTGTTCGAGCATTATCTGAGGTATCTTTACCTAAAGTCAGCTCTTCCAGCTGCAGAGATCGTTGACGAAGAAGAGCAAATCCATACTAAAAGCAAATGAGGAAATTATTTCCTTGATATTTTAATGTCCAATGATAAAACTAAGGGAAAACATGCTTGGAGCCAACCTGCAGAATCCATGACAGAATCTGAATACGTACTGTTCCACAGGGAAAATGTGTGATTTACTAACTATAGTAGGTCCTCTCCAGTTTAATGCTATATTTTAAAGCAAGGAAAGGGAAAGCTTAAAATTAGATTGTAAAGCATATTAATATATCCCCCAAAATTGCCTACCCATTTAGATGAGAGACAGCGAGAGATAATATTGCATGAAAAAATTCCTTTCTTTAAAAAGGGGGGGGGGGGGAGGAGAGGCAAATAAGAAGTAGGAATGCCAGTATTGCTAGACATTTTTCAGAATTATAAAAATACTTATGACTTTTAAAATAACAACTTTTTGAGCAAAAAGAATCAAAACTATCTATTTTGGTATGAAAATTTAATATAACTGAATGTGAAATAAATCAAGTTGTATTCATAAATGACATCTGAATCAATTTACTGCCCATGCCAAAACTTGTAAATGAATGCATACTAGCAAGGATGCCAATCTAATTTGAGAAGAACTTTTGTCATTTTTCTAAAAAATGGTGTCTCAACCCAACAGGGTGAAGTTACATGTATTTACCAGACTGCCTTTCCGTCTTGCAGCTTTTTGCTGAATTTTGAAGGATTTCTTCCTAAGATGTTCAGCTTGTTCAAATCTAAAATGAAAAATTCAGTTAATAGTAACAGTGGTAGATGAACAGAGGTTTTAGCAGTAGAATATGTTTAGAAGATCATAATTTTTCAGAATATAATGGGGATTGGTTCCAATAAAAACCAACAAATGGAGAGGTCCTACCTATATAGGACTGTATAATTCTTCTTTAGAATATTGCTGCAGGCATTAATATACACAGATTTAAACCTTTTCCTGATTTCTAATTTCATCTTTCTGTTTTCTTCTTTCATTTCTTCCCTCATTAGCAGCCTACAGAAATCTGGCACAATGCAGACAACCAGGTCAATATGTAGCTTCATGTAAATTTTAGCTGCAAACTTGAATGTTTTAACTTGTACGTGTCCTTCTGGTTGAATCCTGATGATTCTATGGACTACTCTGAATTATTTCCTTGGCAAAAGTATTTTCTATTTTCTTGCTTTCTTCCAGGATTTTTTTTTTACTTCCTAGTGTAGCCTGTGAGTTCTGATATTTTCTGGTTCCCTTCCATCAATATATTAACTTGGTCCGAATCTACTTTGTTTTTGTAGATAAGCTAAGGTGAAACCAAATTGTAGTAATTCTTTAAAATGGTATTTCAAAAACATTAGCTACAGCGATTCATAAAATGAATGAGGCAGGTAACACATAAACTAAGAAATATTGTAAAACCAATAAAACAATGTCATTTACATTATGTACTATGTTACTTTCCAATCTTCCCTAATTTTCCTCCTAGGTTTCCATAAGATATATTTAAAATAATTAACTATTTAAAACCATTTCCCAACTTCAAAACTTTCATTCCCTGCGTATTCCCCCTATATTCTCAAACCCAATTTCTTGGCCAATTCAATACCAAGAAAATTCTAGCAGCGCCCCCAGGAAGGTCTTGTTAAAAATGAAAAGGGGGGGAGGTCTGGATAGAATATGGTTTTTCCTTACTTGTTCTGCTTCTGATATAATGTTGCCAGAGCATCAAGTTCACGAGCTATCCTGAGATGATCAGATCCATAAGCATTTTCAGAGATTTCAAGTGCTTGTTTATATAATTGCTCAGCATTGCCATATTTCTTCCACTGCACATAAACACTAGCTAACTGATGAAGTGACTGGGCCACTCTGGGATGATCGGGATCAAGGGCAGTCTCTCGAATCTCCAGAGAGCGCTGCAATGGAGCAATTGCCTATAAAGAAGGTGGTTTTTTTTTCTTTTTAGAAAAGGATAGTCAGTAACACACACACACACACAGATAGACAAAATGGCCCAAAAATCAGCCAAATAAATCATGCTTTCTTCTCCCTCAAAGTTTTTCTCATATAACTTCAGAGAACTAAAATATTCTACTGCCATGGAGCTCTTGTCTTTTCCAAGAATTAGTGTCAATTGTTGGTTTAATTCTACATTATGTCATTCAGTACAATAAAAATGACAATATGAAATCAGTTGCATTGATCAATCAATCACATGGCTAGACTTATACAGATATCTTATATCTGTTGTCAAATTTCTATAATCATGAAAAGTAAGAAACATGCTTAAAAGAAAGATGAAAGTTATTCAAATAAAATCTCAAGTTTCTCCAGAAATCTGATTCTATATCTGCCACTGAAAAAAACAAGAGATCTGAATGTGTCTTCTTTTCTGGAGAGGTACTTACCTGACTGAGAAGACCTAGGTCTTTAAGAAATCGTCCCAGGGTCTCATAAAGATCAGCCAAACAAATCACGCTTTCTTCTCCTTCACAGTTTTTCTCATATAACTTCAGAGAACTAAAATATTCTACTGCCATGGAGCTCTTGTCTTTACCAAGAAGCTGCCAGTAGCTGAGTAGTTCTGCAAAATGTCCCCTACAAGCAGTAAATACAACTCATTAAAACATGTCAAACTCGTGACGTCACATGACATCGCGCAACGTATCGGAGCTTTTTCCCCATTGCTGGCAATGGGGTGGGCGCGGTTTTGTCATGACGTGTCTGGCCTGCAGGCCGGCAGTTTGACACCCCTGTTCTAAGGAATCTAATTGGTCAGGTTAATATATTGTATATTACATGGATTGTTTGCTTTTGGTTTTGCTTTATAGGTGAATTGGACCACAATAAGTTACTCCTAGTTTTTTCAAAAAATTAAAGCAATGTATGAACAAGCTGGTGATACACAATAAACAAAGACCATTCCAATTTTGTAAAGGAATTGAAATACAAACATTTCCAACAGGTGCCTATATATCTTATAATCTATCCCTGCCACTCTGCTTTTGAAACACTTGGAATACAGTTTTGAAAGCCAGTGGTCAGTATTGTGGCTGTCCTTCTTACAGAACTGTATTGTCCTGTTAGGAAATCATGCTCCCAACAATAACATCAATTTAAATAATTTACAGCAATGTAGAATCATTCTCCAAAAATTAAAAATTCATAAAACATGTATTTAATATATCTAGATTTTACATGCACCTAGTTTGTGAAATCATGACCCTAAGAAGCATAAGTCAAATAGCCCCCACCTTTCAAATATAAAATATTTTACGGCAATTTTTTTAAAAAAAATAAATCAAAATGTAAAATGTAAAATTCAACACATTTTGCAGCGGAAGGATCCTAAACTCAAAACCTCCTATTTTAAGAGTAAAATAGGGTGTACAAACTTATAAAAAAGATCCAATCTTAAAACATGTGTTCCTTATCAGAACATCATATTTTGGAATCACATTATTTCTGGTATGCTCAGAACAGATTGGGAAAGTTCCACAATCAGAATTTGTTGCCTTTACAATGTTTCAACTTTCAACATTTGTAAATATAGATTCTGAAATTATAGCAGTTTCTGAGCCTCTTTTTACTATGTACTGCATGTGATTTTTGGATAAGCCAGTATTTCCAACATACGAGTGCACGAATTTTTTTAGTATACAAATTAAATAAACAAAATTTCACCATCATATGAAGTATTTTCCCCTGCTTTTCTTGATGTTTATATCTTAAAAGTTTTTAAAAGATTTGAATGGGAACTCTTGCCTCTTGCTTATTTCAATCCAGTCTGAAGCCAGAATTAACAGATCTTTATATTTTGGATCACATATTACTCAGGCATAACTATCCATCCCATGGGACCGTGGTCTCTACCTCGCCCCCTAGGCATTTTTAAACTGCATTTTCCAGAGACTGAAACTGACATTTCCTCCATAAAAACAGCATGCTTTGTTCACTGAACTAAATTCCCCTAGTTAAGCAAAAGGATGAAGCAGCAGCAACAGAGAAAAAGCACCACAGTAAACCAAAACTAAAGCAGTCTTTGTCTTTGGTACAGCCCCCTCCCCCAATAAATAGCAGGTATCAGCAATCTCTGCCCTTGAAATATTCTGAACTGCAGTTCCCACAACCCATTCTCAGTTACGATGGTAGCTATAGCTAACAAGAATTGAGGTCCAAATCATCAAGAGGGCACCACATTATTTATTTCTTATATATTCTTCAGTAAACTATCTCCCTCTGTACAATTTAGATATATGATATCAAACACAGAACAAAGAGCTCTTTATTTCTCTTTCCAGTCTAAAACAAAATTCCTGATAAAGACAATAGGACAGAACCGTAATAAAGAAAAAATATACCAAATCCTCTGTTGCCATTCAGATGATTTGGGTAGAATTCTTTTACTAATTTTGATCTGAATAACCAAAATGCATACTTAGACTTGTGCCCTTTGATATTTCATTCAACAGGTTTCTGTGTTTATTAAAAAAACACAAATCTTGTCACTAGAAACCTATAAACAAAGCCGTAGTCTAAATATTTCATCCTTACCTTTTATAAAGATTCTGAGATATAAAGAGATTCAATAAGCATTTCTGTAGCTTCTGCTTGTCTCCTTGTTGCTGAAACAACCAGGGCAATTCATCTGCACTCCTCCATGTCACTCTTTGTTCACTAGGGTGATTGTAGAGGAAGAAGATGGGAGAAGGCAAATTGCAAGGGAAGGGGAGTAATTATCTAAGTTACAGTAGAATTATAATAAAGGCATTTATGTGAACGTGAAATATAGTCTTTCTACCTGTAAATGTTTTTTAAATTTGTAGTGATAACATAAGAAAAATCAGAGAAAATAAAATTAAGAATTTTCTTTTGTTGGTGTATCAGAACTAACATATAAAAGGAGATAATCAGAAGTGAGGGACGATGTCCTGCCTGGGAAACTAGCGTAACTCAGAAAAAGTTCTACTAAAATATTCTACTAAAATATATCAACCTTCAATACTATCAGCCATGGTATCCTTTGGGCCAACTATGTGAGTTAGGGCTGGGTGGCATAGTTTTGCATTGGTTTAGCTCAGGGGTAGGCAACCTTGGCTTTTTTATGACTTGTGGACTTCAACTCGCAGAATTCCTGAGCCAGCATGCTGGTTTAGCTCCTTCCTCCAAGGCCAGTCCTAGCCAGTGTTGATAGGGAATGAGAGAGATCGTGCCCCCCAACCACTCCCTTGAACTACTGCAATGCACTCTACATAGGACTATCTCTGAAGTCCATTAGGAAGCTTCAGCTGGTGAATTACATAGACAAATAAACAAACATATAAGTAATAAAATGAGACAGTGATGGAAATGAGATTTGAAATATGGGGTTCCTGAGTTATACCTTAGTCCTTTAGCTGCCCTATCATATAATATTTAAACTACAATCACTTGATGTGCAATATTTAGGACAATCAAATAATACTCAAAGTTTCTATCATTTTACAGCATATAATCACAGATAATAAAACTGCAGATGAGAATGTGAAAAAAACATGTGTACTTAAAAGCCCATCTGCTTTATTCTGCATGCTTAAAACTCGCCAAAACGTGCCCCAAACTGTAACTATTTGAAGGCAATTACTATGGATACCAAAATCTGGGATTATGTATGAATTTTCTGATGACAAATCCTGCTGACAACAAGGTGGTTATGAGCAAAGCTACCTTCAACATTTATTAAGTTTTTAAATAGTCACTAAATCATTTCTATATCTCATAATCTAAAAATCTTACCTCAATTGCCTGGTAAAGTAGTCTATCAGTTTTTCTCTGTAAGAGGCAAAACCATTCTGACTTCCTTCCATATATTTCAATTTTACTGTATCCCAAGCCTGAAAAGAAATATCAGTTTTATTGTGTAATAATAGTAACAACAATAGTAACCTATTAAACTTGTATGCTGACTAACTCAATGCCTCTGGGTAGCTCCTAACATTCAAATAAAGAAATTACAATAAAATCAATTATGTAGAAAAGATAAAGTAAGCACATCTCACTCTCTCTGCCAAAGGCCTGGATGAAGAACCAGGTCTTTATGATTCTTCCACAACCCCCCAGTTGCAGCCACTACCAGGCCAGGGCCTATTCGGAACCAGGCCACGTGAGCAGTGGATCGGCACGCACAGCTCAGCTTGCACAAGCAGCATGCCAACGTGAGTGGACACGCATGCACAGCTCAACTTGCACAATTTGAGCTTCGTGCACATGTGCGCGCAGGCCTGCCACTCGCGCAAGTCAAGCTGTGCATGCGTACACATCAGTCCACCATTCATGCAGACTAGTTCTCCTCTCACCCCATCACTGGGCCGCCAAGCAACAAAGGCTGGGGAACCGCTGTTCTAAACTACAGCAGAGAAGGGCCTCTCTGGATCTGTGAGGGAACCTAATTCCAGAACACTACTGCAGAGAAGATGTGTTTCCTGAGTCTCCACAGATGACATTGTTTAATCGAAGGAACCCAGACCATACCAACCCTGCAGTAAATGTAACTGTCCAATGAGAATAATAAACAATAATCAGCAAGTGACTTCGCAGGAAGTAAAAGAAAATTCCAGTCTTATGCATGTACAGGTAGTCCTCAACTTATGACCACAATCGAGCCCAAAATTTCTGAATGGTCACTAAATGAATTGTTGTAAGTCTAGGACTACCTGTATTTTTAGAAATGCTAGCCTATTAAAGTGAAATCTGTAGTGAATTTTACTTGCTATTTCTTGCCTGCTATGTGAGAGATTTCCCATCAGTACTGGATAAAATAATTTTCTTAAAAAAAAACTCATAACAAAGAAATAGCGTGAATATTGGAAATAAAATTATATTAATAGTGATATATTAACTGATCTTAACTCAAGTTATTTTTAGCTTTAAAAAAATCTGTCCAAAGCATTAGCAGAAACTAGCAAATGAGTAGATACAATAAATACAATAAGATCATTAGGTAACTAATTTCTTTGCCACAATACCTGAAGATGCTGAAACCTTAACAAACCACATCTATATGTCAAAATGTACATTTTGTGCATACTGTAAATTAAGGAGGCCAGCATTTCCCATGATAGCTCAGGGCAGAGTTCCATGAGTTCTGATTCACTGATTCCATTGTGACTAACACTGATGAGGCAGAGAATCTATAGAACAAACACACAAACAATTTTAGCATTTATTGACTCTGCCACATGATTAAACTACAGTTATTTGCATTTGTTTATTGGGTTTCCTTTCACAGAAAAATCCTCTTTGTGGAGGTCACAATTAAAGTATCCTAATACATGTAAGTCCTCAACTTGGGGCCACAATTGTGACTCAACTTTTCTCATGATATGTGATATGATTGGTAAGTGAGTCGTTATATGACTGGGCCCAATTTTCCAACACATTTTGCCATGATTATTAAACAAATCCAGCTTACCCCATTGACTTCATTTGTCAGGAGGCTGCAAGTGGTGATCACATGAACATTGGGCCCTACACCTATCATAAATACATGCCAGTTGCCATCATCCAAATTGTGATTACATGATTAAAAGGGACACTGCAATGGTTGTACAAGTGTGAGGTCTGGTCATAAGACACTTTTTCAGTGTCATTCTAAAGGTCTCTAAACAAGTGATCATAAGTTGAGAACTACCTATACTTTTCTTTGCACAATACAAAAAAAGGCTCACTTAATTTTTTTTGTTTCATTTTTAGAGTTTTTGTTATACTATTTTTCCTCTGGATTGGCTTTTAGCTGCCCAGAGTTATTTATGTGAGATGGAAATTTCCTAAATAAACAATGATCATACAGACAAGGGATTACATTTACTTTTTTTCTGAATATTCTTAGATTTTTTTTAAATCAATTTTTCAAGAGTTTATAATGAGTTTAAAAAGAAGAACTATTTTGAAAGACAAATGTCAAACAAAGGGGTTTGGATGATAATGGAATTGGACTGCAAAGGAGACATTTAAATTACTGAGTCCGATTCCACATAAAATGTTAAGGAAAACTATAACAGTGACTCCCACGGAACAAGGGAAGCTATCAGTTTCCCATCTTATTAGAGGAGCAAAAAACTGAACCTACTTGCCTATCATTATCCATATACTAAATTACTGCTTTTTCAGCTTGGCAATTTTACAATGCTTGGACTTCAATTCTCAGAATTCCCGAGCCAACATTCTGGCTATGAAATTCTGGGAATAGAAGTCTCCAAATCTTAATGTTGTCAAGTTTGAAAAGCACTGTCTTAAATAAAGTGCCATATCCATAAAATCAGATGTGTTATTGCAAAGGAAGCTCTAACAGCCTTGCAAACTTGCCTCTTTCATGAGCCTTTTCTCTTTTTCACTTTTCAAGGACTCTTCAACTGATCTCAAAACTAACTGGTAAAGAGCCATGACATTCTGGCACTCAAAGCACTTCTGTAGAAGTATATCTATATCTTCTGTACTTTTGATGCTGAAGGACATAATACAAAAGATTTAAAATAGTACATTTGAAATTTCACTTGAAATAGTTAAAAGTATTAAAAATCATAAACCTTCACAATTCCTATAACTAAAGCTCAAATGTTAATGATTGTTCGTAACCTAAAGTCACTTATTTGAGATGGGCAGTCCCAGAAATTGAATAAAATAAATAATACATAAGAGCATCTTCTGATGCATGCCATATTTTGTTAACAAGGGAGAGAAAGGTAGAGAGAGATGAAAATATGGCTATACTTTTAGGCAAATAAGTTGCCTCTGAGTTATTTTATCCCAAAGAGCATAATCAAGTCTTAACTTTTAATGGCAAAACATCAAGCAGAAATCTTCCAGGGAAAACCACAATATGAAAATCAAGTCTAAATAAAGCATTTGAATTCACTAACCAAAAGATACCTAAAGTTGGGTTAGTATTTACTGTGCTAAAGCCAAGTAACTATTAACTGTTCTTATTTTAGAGCAGGGGTGTCAAACCCGCAACGTCATGTGACGTGTTGCGACGTATCGTGACTTTTTTTCCATTGCCGGCAATGGACTGGGCAGTTTTGGCACGATGCATCCAGCCCGTGGGCTGGCAGTTTGACACCCCTGTTTTAGAGCCTATTTTAGAGAGAAAAGAATTAATGCTGATGAAAAGTTACAGTTTTGTGCTTGCACTAAGTCACAGCCTGTGGAAAGATATAGGCTCCACGATTTCACTCATATTGTGTGTCAGCTTTCTCCAATATAGTGTCAGTGAGAATGTTCCAGGCCCACGATACATCAGAGGGTAACAATTAGAGAAACCTGATGTAGCTCATTAAACTAGCATATGACACCACAACCATGTCAAGCAAATTGTATATTCCATAATGCAACAGAGGATAGGTTAACCTAGTGATAAAGACAGGATATTTGTTCCAATGCTTATGTTTATACAGCTGAATTCATATATCAGGCTAAGGCACGACTGTCAAACTTGCCACATCATGTGACGTATCGCGACTTTTTTTGCATTGCTGGAGTTGGGGTGGATGTGGCCTCTGTATGATGCAACCGGCCCACAGGCTGGCAGTTTGATACTCCTGGGCTAAGGCAAGATTTGATTAACCATGGTTTGCTGCATCAAAAATAACTGGCTGAATGCACACAAAATGGTAAGCCTAAACAGATTTTTATCATTTAACATAATGCTAGCCAATATCTTGCTTCAGATATAATATTATGCTACAGCTGAATATACAGAAGCAATCATTCAATTCATTAGAAGGAAACCAAAGATTACCTGAGTCAGGGAGGATCCAATTTGAATGAAATATAATCTCTTTGCACCTTGCCTAACAAATGACATTTTCTAGTGATCATGATGAATCACTACTAAATGAATATTTAGTCTACATACAGTTGATCTGATTGCATAGCTGCATGCAAATGTAAGATCAATTTGACATAGACTTAACTTGACAAAGTCAGGAGACCAACATATGATAAAAGTACCAAGAGTTAAGACATGAACTTCCATGATCAAAAGCTATGTAGGACAACTAGATTTCTCTCCAAACTGTCTTCTAAACTATAATAACGACAATGCTGATGAAAGCACCCAGTCCAATTCTTTTAGGTTATAAAACAACTGAAGTTTATAAAAGTGTACATGTAGAGTGTGTCAGAACTTCTCTGTTCTACAGTTTGCTATTTTGTTTGCTTCTTTCTTTTTCTCATTGGGAAATTTTTCTGGAATCAAGAAATAAGACAGTTTTGTTAGCTATCAGATTTCTATTGTAGATACCTGTCTACAAACATTTGTTCGGAAACTGTTGATCACCAATGTATGCCTCAAATTAGTTGTGCTGAAACTGATAAAAGGAGCAATGGTGTTCAAGACTTTATTCAATAAACCTTTGCAATTATTGTACTATACTGGACAGTGTTGCCTTCTGTGGTGATTGTCCCAACTGGGATAAAGAACCTAAGAAGGGAAGAAATCAAGTTTTTTTTCTTGGAGTTGTGGTCTTACTACATGTGGAGAACATGCGTTGGGGGAGGCTTATCTACTTCATGAGAGAGCATAGCACTTCCCAAATAATTCCACAGGTAATGACTTGGTTGGCACAACAGTTGTAAACCTCTTAAAACTGCAGTAAATAACAGTAAGAGACATCAATCTAACAACCTATTATAAAAACATTTGTGAAAAACAGTAGATTGCCTGAATGAAATTGCCATCTATATTCTTTGACAGCATGAAATTAAGTTGCAAACTTTTGACTTTCAAGTTCTTTCACAGTGAAAAATAAAACAAGCAAATAAAGGGGGGGGGGGGAGAAAGGTGCCTCCTATTAAAAATATCACATTATGAATCTTTTGTAGAGAAAACATCTACATGATAAATACTGTAAACTCTTGAGTCGGTGGCCTAATCAAGGGAAGAGCTGTCTGTTAAATTCTAATGTTGCTTAAATGATTGATAGATTTTTTGAGCCTCAACACTAATATGGACTTTATGTACTGCAGCAGCAGTGATGACATGGCAATCAGGAAGAGAAGCAGAAGGAAACAAAGTCAAATCAACCATGATTCAGGTATCTTCGCTGCAACTTTAGATCTGGAGATCATGTTGCTAAGCAATGGCAGCACCTGGAGCCAGATTGGGCTACCACCTATATTGAATGATACCCTCATAATCCCTAATCAAGCTGTTCAGGCAGAATCTATTATTGCCCAAGATTTGGACAAAGTTCAAAGACTGCAAGTTATAGCATTCAAATCCAAAATCTAAACTGAGATCCATTAAATCAAGTTTTACTGTATGTAGCATTTATTTTATTTTTTTAAATTATAGAGCTTGAATTGAATAGATTATTAGAATTAAAAGTTAAGGTTTCCCTGTTCATTTGTGTCTGACTCTAGGGCACACTGCTTATCTCAGTTTCTTGTCCAAGGGAGCTAGCATTGTTATTATAATTACAAAGAATTTTCCACCTGACTGAAGTCAAAAAGTTTGGGAATTTATTTCATGTCATTAAAGAAGAATGCAAACTGCAAAAATCCATTTGGACAACCTACTTATACATATTTGTGTTTTGATACCAATTCTTATAAATAGTAAAAGAATTAATTTTACTGGATCTAGGTGCTTAACTATTCTTTTCTAGAAACAGCAGCATATCAGTATCTTTTTAACATACCCAGCCATAATTCTGCCCAAAAGAGTAACATAGAGGGCATTGCATGTTGAAGTAGAATTACTGTGTTTCTCAAGCTTCTTCTCCTAAAGAAGTAGAAAACCAAAAATGAATCTTTCTACAATGTTGAAAACTGTTATGAACTCATAAGGAATACAAGAAACATCATACCAACACAATCATACCCTCTGCTAAGTATAAGAAAAATAATTTTTAAAAATATATTTTATTTTTAAAATGTTTTTTTAATAATAAAAGTGTATTACAGATCAAGTGAAACAAGAACACAAGTGTGGAACTCTGGATTTTTTAAAACTATGATTTTCCAGAAATCCATACTAATATAACTGGAGTTGAGGATTCCTAGAACAAAACATCAATATTTTGAAGATCACAGTGAAAATAGTTGTTGATACATTCTCAGACATACTACAGCTTGCAAAAGATACATCAAGAACTTTATTGAAAAGTTACTTGATTCCTTTGCTAAACATTCTTACCCATTCACAATCATGTATTCGCCAGTTTAAAATCTAAAACTCACAAGTATAACCTAGAGGAGACATAGGGATACCTAATCATAATAGCAAGCAATGGAACAAGCATAATTTCAACAGTAAATAACCTGCTATTATAAATAGGGCTTTCTTGTCTTTCATACATTTTAAATCTTGAGTTATCCATTTTTAGTGCAGAAACTTTTGATTTTTTTCTTTAAAGTTATATGAGATATGTAATTATTTCTCTTTTTAATTTGAAATATTTATAATTAAGCCTGGTTGAGTACAAAGATAAGGAATTTGTATTTATGAAGCAGCAATACCTGTTCTTTGGTCAGCTTTAGGCCTGCGCTGTTGCATTCTTCATTAATAAGATATTTGACACAGCTGACAGTTAATGGTTCAAGATGAAGGGTAGGCCACAGCCTTTCAATGAGAAAGCAGAAAATGACAGTCACATACAGAATTTAACATGTAAAAAGAGTAAATTTAAATACAGGAACAATGTTAAAAACCCAGGGCAAATCTCTTAATCCCTGGCTTAGATACATAGCTGTCTCAAAATCAAATAGTGATCATGAATGGTTCTTACCAAACTAAGGTGCCACAAAGCTTACATGCCAACATTTTTATTAAAAGACTTGAGTTAGAAACAATGCCTTTTAAATGTTAACAGTCTGAATTGGGTAGTTAATTGGGTAGTTAATATCCTAGAAAACAAATATAGAGGTAAAATGGAATTGACAGGAGAAACGGATATGATAGATAGATAGATAAATAACAAAATGATGGAATTTAACAAAGATATATGCAAGTTTCTTCACTTAAGAAGCAAAAGTCAAATGCAGAAGTATATGATGAGAAATATTGAGTTTGATAATAGTACTTATGAAAAGGATCTTATTCTTTTGATTGACTAATCAGTTGATTACGTACAAATTATGAGCCAGCCATAAATAACATAATTTTGCATAGCAACACATTAAAATCAAATTATCCCGCAGCCAAAATATTACCACAGAGAAAATCTTTTCTTATTCAGCAAGCCAATAAAATCGTTTTATAAGATGCCATATCAGAAAACACTCACTTAAACAAAAGATAGAATCCAGGTACCAATTCTGATAGTCTTATACCCAAGAAAAATGTTTTGTGATTCTTTTTTAAAGAGTATTATATACAAGTGAACTTTTTTTCACCTGTAAAACACATCTCCCATTCACATTCTGAAGTGCTACAATTCAGGAGCATGGATATTTTCTGAATGGCCATCACAGTCACCTTGTTGCAAAAAGCATATTGCTTTTTTCATAGATATGCCTATTTGTGTTCATGGATTCATAGTAAAAAACATTCTGCCATGTACAGGTAAAGCTGATTCTTATAGGGCACTCAACATGCTGTCTGCAATTGAGAAGAAAACTACCATGCCTGATTTTCCACAGCTGAATGGCATAGTTTATCGTAAAACAAAGCAAGTTTACCTCCAAGCTTGTGGGCAACTTTCAACATTCACAGATACCACAACTCTTACATTCACTGGCAGTGGATCAATCAGCCACTTCATATGCTTTTCAGCTTGCTGAAAGACATAAGGTTAATTTAAAATTCAGAATGTTGTAACAGGTTAACTATACATGTATTTTTTAAATATTTTTCTCATTGAAAAATATCATTTACATTATATTTTTTCTTTCAGCTGCCTTCATAAAATAGAACTGCAGAAGAATTACACATATGCAACCTAAAACTATGTGTTTAATATTACATAAATTATAGTTACTATCTCCAAAAACAAAAGCTTTTTCTGGCCTCTCTATAATAAGTTTTCATTTTAACTTAGGATGTTGCAGGCAAGGTTTTGATTGTTAAACATGTTTTATATTATAAATGTTTATTAGATTGCTTGGTTTGATTGTATACATATAATAAACCATAGCTTAGCATACGTGAATCCAATCATTAGGAACAAGGAGAAATGTTCTCTCCCAGTTGTATTCAGGTTTCTTATTTTCATGTGTGCACAGTTACAAATGTAAATGCACTTTCTGTGTGTGTTTTTGGTGCATTGTAAAAAAATTATCTTGTTAAAATAGTAAAAAGTAATTTAAGCAATTCTAAATCCACCTTTCAGTAAAGCAGAAGTCAAAAAATATATACCTGTATCTGATCAACTGAATCAATAATGATTATAATACTGCCTTGCTGGCGAGCAGAAAGTTTCTCTAGCCAACGAGGAAATTCTTCTAATAATTTAGCTGGTTCCAATGAAGTAGGTGAGACTGACCAGGAATTTTGCATAAGCTGTGAGAAAATAAACAGAAATAAAAATGCTTCATCTAAATAATATTTTATCTAAAAATGAAACAAAGAAGCAGACCTTTTTAGACTTCACATAGCTGAGTTTTTAATTTAAAAAAGGATTAGAAAAAGTATTTTAATTGCAACGTATTTTGTGGCCACTCCAGCCTGCCATCTTTCTACATTAGCAACCTCTAAATCCAGATTTAGCCTACATGCTACACCATAGTTTAAATAAGCCAAGAACAAAACCAAACTGTGGTTAAATAAATCATATATTTTGATTTTAAAAGTATCATAATTTGTTACATTTAACACTGATTCATTTATAGGATCTTAAAAAATCTCTCAGTACTATTATTCTGTGTTCTAGTTTCAGAGTAGGATATTGTACAGAGGTACGTACCTCTGCTGCAACAAAGCTACATTGGATGTGTCATTTGGCTGAGGAGCAGGAAAATATATAACATGCTGAGTGATTTCATGGTTAGAACCAGTGTATTAACTAAATTATGGAACATTTAACCACTTCTTGGGTATAACAGTTATAACCTCACAGAATGGTTTATATGAGATTCCCAGGTGCCTTCTAACCAAAGAAAGCTTGAACCTTAGAAACTGTATAAAGACAAGGAATTACGATATTTTTCAGTATCACAAGTAAATAAACTAAGAGAGGCTAGTGCATTAGCAGAAAAACTGCCAACTGAGAAATGTAAACTATGCTTGCCTAAAGCCAGACAATTAGGAAATATAGCCTAGTTTTATTCCTTAGCCCGATGGCTAAAAATGACAGCAGAATATGTTTCTCATGCTCAGGATATTTTATAATAAAGGGATATTTTTTGTTTTTGCAAATTTTATACTAAGGCCAAGTAAAAATAAAATTTAAGCTTGAAATTATTACAGTCCAACAACGTATGGATTTGTAAGGACCCAACAATTTGAGTTTCTGCAGTCACAGAATCTATATTTTAGTTTTACCAGATGTTTAAATCAGAATAGACTCTCAGTGACACTGTTTAATTTACTCTGCCTATAATCTCACTTGGTAATTTATACTATGTTAACTACGGTTCTCGATATTCATGCTTATTTTAGAGCTTAATTTTGATTTTTAGGCTATAAAACAAAACATATGATTAATAATCAACTAATCCTATACTCAAAATTTAATTTCTCTGACATTTTTAAATCCCAAGTTTATCAATTTGTCTTAATTATTTTATCCCTTTTTCTAGTTTCTTTTTTATATTTATATATTTTTTTAAAACATCTAATGAAAATACAAAGAACAGGAAATTTAAGCATAATATAGTGAAACAGAATTCTCATTTTATTAAGTGAACAAGTACTCTGGTTCCCATATGCTGATACGTAGTTAAATAGACCTACCTTTAAAGTGAGACGTTTGAGAATCAGTGTAGGCTCTGAACTGCTCGACATGGCTTTCCCAACAAAATGGTAGAGAATGAGTGTATTTGGAGAATGCTTCTGTTGTAACTGAATCCTAATAAGAAAAAATATACTTATATACTTATGAGAAAAATATATATACTTATCAACTCAAATACTACAAACAGTTCTACCACAATATAGATGATTATGTTGTTACTTTGGAAAGTTATTTTTTACATGGCTATATTTAATTTTTAAACATTGAACTATCAACTAGATATTAATGATAGTTTCAAAAACCTAGAAAAGGAAACCTCTTGATCCTTGCCTCAAGAGATTGGCCCACATAGTTTATATACTGCTCACAAAAATAAAGGGAACGCAAACCCCTTCAGTTCCATGGTAAAATGTTCCCTTTATTTTTTTGAGCAGTATAGTTAACATACTACCAGTATCTGGCAGGAGCTCTCCATGAACTCAGAAGTTTTTTCCAGCCTTGTCTTGAGATATTAGGAACTGAACATGACACATTCCATATGTAACACATTTTGCCAATAAACTGCCATTCTTTTCCAAAAATTGATACTTCTGTGCTGCAGTTTCTTTGGCATTTGGTCTTAGACTAGAAACCTGAATGGTGTCATCATAACAGTTTAAATTCTAGATAAATTAAGGTAAATAAACAAGCAGTCCTTAGAAAATAAATGGTGGTACAGTATATATACACATTTTAAACTTTAAATGTCTTTATGGGTATACCCTATACAGATTACAGTGAGACACCAAATAAATGCAACTAAATTAGTTTTGATGTTATTGCACAAGTGGAACTTTTTTTTCCCCTTTCCCTGCTAAACTACATTCCCACCAACGTAAAACTTCAGGAATGGTCGCAAGGAAAGCTGATTGGGGGAGCTTGAAAACCTAGAGTCTGTGATAAAGTAACAAATGTATAATATACAGAGCCTGGCTAACTGTTTGAAAAAGACTCTATGGAACAAATGGAGGGGAGAGGAAGACAAACTCTTATAACATGATAGAATACTTAGTATATTTTGCAAAATGAAGAATATAAATATTGTAGGTGTAGTGATTCATTAGCACTATGTCCACTGAGCTAGTATATTATAACTGTGTTATGAAGTGACTAGTAAAACTGGATTTAAAGGATATCTGGAATGCACATACTTGTACAGCTTGGTATTTCTTGAAGAAGGAAACATTTTTTAAAAATGTACATTTCCTAGAAATACAGGTGTGTTTTTTTTTAAAAAAAAAATCCATAATACCATTTTGATAAAAGGAGCGATTTTCCAGAACCTGGCTCTCCAGATACAAGGAGGGGTGGAATTGGTGCAGGGGCTGCCACCAAATCATTCAGACATTCATAATACTGCAAAGAAAACAATGTAATATAATAAATAACGGTTGAGTTAGGTCCAAACATTTACATTTACTTGATTTTAAACCTGTTAATCCAAAGATTAGTCTTTTCCATATTAATTTATGCACATATAAAATAATATATTGATGTTGGCTAAATTTATACATAAGATATATTGCGGATCTTGTTAATTAATGAATCAAGACTGGAGGGGACTAGGAAGAGACTCTTCTCTCTCCTTTGGAACATTCTTCCTTTACAGTCAAAGCTTCCCGGCCTTTCAAAAATACCTAATGATGCGGTTCTACTATCTTGCTTGGGGCAGAGAGAAGAGCAGGCAACTGTGAGCCGTTAGAACCTTCCCACCTTCCCGCCTTTTAAATAACTTTTAATGTAGAATTTTAACTATCTTTGTCTCTCCTTTAAATTTTTACATTCACATTTTTTGTTTTTTAATTAATTGTCTTTTAATTACATTTTATTTGTACACTACCCAGATTCCCTCTGTGAGGGATATGGATAATTTCTGAATGTGATAAATGAAATAAAAAAGTTAAAACAGAATTTATTGACCATGACTGTCCTGATTCATATTTGACCAATTAATGGACAGATTAATTACAGTTCTCACTGGTTTGATCAGCATGAAACAGCATGAAAAACTCAAATGACAATACAATTTAGTGTGCATGGGTTACCAGAGCAATTAGGTTTTAGAGTACTTTGAGACAAAATTTTATTTACCAATACCTTGGTCTTAATTCACTGATTTTTACAAAATGAAGCTGCAGTTCTCTCATTCTTTCCAGACACTTCAGCCATCTTTTTTTTTCATTTCAGGAGCAATATATTAAGGAAAAAATAGCTACGCAGTGCAAGAGTATACCCAACCTATCTAACTTAGTTGGGCTTTGGCCTGGCTCACTAATTTTACCAACTTTACCAACTCCACGAGGATTGTTTTCACCCCCCCTCTCACCCCTTTCTGGTTTCGCACAGCCGGACTTGTTGCTATTGAATGTTCCACAGGACGGTTCTGCTGGCTCTGCGTGATTCCCCCGCCGCGCAGACCTGGCCCAGTACACTCTCAAGGGCCCACCTTGATGAAGGGGTGTGGAGCCCCGAGAGGTGGTGTGCAGCAGTAATTAGTGGGAAAAAACCCAAATTGGTTAGGTTTTTAGTGGGGTGTTTTG